AGAGGACCCGGAACTAAAGGATACGGCAAGTGATTCATCCAAACCCCTTATCTCTTACTCTGGGTCATGTCCTTCTTCACCACCTTCTGTGATCTCCAGTATTGCTGCTTTGGAGAATCAAATGAAAATGATTGATTCTGTCATGAACTGTCAGCAGCTGACCAGTTTAAAATCCATAGAAAATGGATCAGGGGAAAGTGACCATTTGAGCAATGACTCCTCATCAGCCGTCGGTGATCTTGAAAGCCAGAGTGCAGGCAGCCCTGCAATGTCAGAGTCTTCTTCCTCCATGCAAGCTTTGTCTCCTGTGAATAGCAATAGTGAAAGTTTCAGATCAAAGTCCCCTGGTCTCAGTAACCAGGAAGAGCCACAAGAAATACAATTAAAGACAGAAAAACCAGACAGTCCGCCACCCACAACTGAAAATGGAGGCGCATTAGATCTGACATCCACCAACCCAGGAAGACCGGTCATCAAAGAGGAGGCTCCTTTTAGTCTGCTGTTCCTGAACAGAGAACGTGGTAAGTTTAAAAGTACTGTTTGTAATATCTGTGGCAAGCCTTTTGCTTGTAAGAGTGCATTGGAAATTCACTACCGCAGCCATACTAAAGAACGTCCATTTGTTTGTACAGTCTGCAGTCGTGGGTGTTCCACTATGGGTAATTTAAAACAGCACTTACTGACGCACAAATTAAAAGAGCTGCCTTCTCAGTTATTTGAACCCAACTTTACTCTAGGTCCCAGCCAAAGTACTCCTAGCCTGGTCACCAGTACAGCACCTACCATGATCAAAATGGAAGTGAATGGTCACAGCAAGCCGATCTCTTTGGGTGAGGTTCCCTCGCTTCCAGCTGGAATCCAGGTTCCTGCTGCACCACAGACAGTGATGAGTCCGGGGATCACCCCTATGCTGGCACCCCCCCCTCGCCGGACTCCCAAGCAGCACAACTGTCAGTCGTGCGGGAAGACCTTCTCCTCAGCAAGTGCACTGCAGATACACGAGCGCACCCATACCGGTGAAAAACCGTTTGGTTGCACAATCTGTGGTAGAGCTTTTACCACAAAGGGGAATCTTAAGGTAAGAGGCCACATAAAACTGTAAAGGCTTGGGGAGGGGGTGGTTAAAGAGCACTGCTCTTGAACTCAGCAGGTTTTAGTGCTAAGCGTTTGTCACAAAGACATGGGAGAAGGGAGCGTCAAGGAAATGCTTGCTGTACGGTGGTGGTCATTATGCTTCCTCTGTGTGGAAGACAAGGACTGGAAAGTGGCTGTGCAATTGTGCGAACTTTAAAACTGGTTCCAGGTGTACATGCAGGCATGTTGTAGTTCTGACAGACATGATGGCACACCCAGTCAGCTGATGGACCTATTTTGAGAGTTCTTATGGACCATCAATGCAAAATAACTTTGCTATAAACCAGAAACACTTGTAGCTTGCTCAGTTCCTTGGGTGCCTCCCCAATTTCTATTTTCTATTCCACTTTGAAGCCATTGCAGAGTAGAAAGCTGTTTCTCACAGATTTACAATGGGTTACTACAAGACTGATGGCTCCTATTCCTGCCATTTCGTTAACCATCACGACGCAGCCTGGGCAAGACATTTTAAATGTCCTTTTTAAAAAATACTGAATTTAGCAAATTAATCAGTGTTTCCGACGTGAGATAAAACATGAAAACTGACAGGATGAAAAAAGGAAAAGGGAAAAACCACCCATCTCCTAGTATGAGTAATGCCCTTGGTAATCTTCGTGTGAGGACTTCCAGCTTGCATGTGAAATTGTCTAACCCAAGAGAGTGTGTACCCTTTAGTCTTGCAGCACTGTTTGCTTTCACTGAGAAGAAGCAAATGTACATTGAAAAACTACTACAAAACTGGGTTTTCTTTGTATGGGCTGACTGGACCTTAGAACTGTGTCTTTACTGGAATTGTTGTTTTTTTTCAATGCAAATTAAAAGGCATTTTTTTTAAAAAAAAGCAAGCGCTACTGTAAGTAACAGCATTTCAGGCTAGATACCTCACCAGAATGTGCTAACTTGGGGGTGCTTCTTGTCCCTGTTCACTCTGCAGGTTCACATGGGGACTCACATGTGGAATAACGCCCCTGCACGCCGTGGCCGACGCCTCTCCGTGGAAAACCCCATGGCTTTGCTCGGTGGCGATGCTCTCAAGTTCTCCGAGATGTTCCAGAAGGATTTGGCAGCTCGGGCCATGAATGTTGACCCCAATTTTTGGAACCAATATGCTGCAGCTATCACTAACGGACTTGCTATGAAGAACAATGAGATTTCTGTCATACAGAACGGAGGCATTCCTCAGCTCCCAGTAAGTCTAGGCGGAGGCGCCATCCCGCCTCTAAGTAACCTTACCGGTGGCATGGACAAAGCTCGCACGGGCAGCAGCCCTCCCATTGTCAGTCTGGACAAAGCAAGTTCTGAAACGGGAGCCAGTCGTCCATTCACCAGATTTATTGAGGATAATAAAGAGATTGGCATAAATTAAAAGCATTCATTCCGAATAATTGTTGGACCTCTACTCGACACAACACTTGTCCTGTTCCATGTACAGCTTTTGAAGCTAAGCATTAGTTTCCTGACCTAAATGCATAGGTTCCCTTTAAAGTTTTACCCATAGCAGAAATACATAACTTTGTGGCTGCTGAAAAGTTGTCTTGCAAGATCTGCATGGTACTTCTTTCAACAGTGAGTTTGACTGTTACTGAGAACTTTGAAACCTTTTAATTTAACAGAAAACAAACAAACAATCCAGTCATGGGATAACTTCATTAGAAACAGAAAGAGGCTAGTCTACATTCACTTTGCTTCTTACAAAACTTACTATCACCTGAGAAAGGGGGGGCTTCATTACGGCATTCTGTCACACTTATTTGCTGGTTTTGTTCAAATTAGTTAGCAACTTGGACTATGTTTTTAGGAATCTTAATCTTAAATAAGTGATTTAGTACCCCAATGCTGTGTATTATTACAGTATCCTTGTCTGTAGTATTTATAATGTTAAGATTATGCGGGTAACAGACAATATACTAGCCCCAAACTTAAATGAAGCTTTTGTACTGCAAAATACATCTGGCTATGTGATTTTTCTTTTTTCTTTTTTTTTTTTTTTTTTTTTTTTAAAGCAAGTTTTGTTTTACTATGAATAAGTGGTTTCTTTCAATGCAGGCAAAATTGTGAAGTTTTATTGGGAAAGATAGCATGCTTTTCATGTGCAAGTACCTGTCAGTAACAAACCTTTTTTTATTTAAATATTTGTAGCTGCTATGTGGACAGTTGTTCTATTAAATGAAAAAAAATGTAGTGTGGATTTTAGCTCAATGATTGGAAAACAAGTTACAGACAAACCTTAGCACCATAAATTATTCACAACATTATAAACAGTTGTGAGTAAATACTCCGTGTTATCAAAGCTGTACAATAAAAAGGTAATGTTTGTATAATGTGGTTGCAAACTCTTAATTTATACTATTGCACTTTCAGTACTTTGTATTAGGGAGGTTTGTCTATAATTTGAAACTGAACAAAGTTGTAAACTATTTTATAAATAGTACTTTGACTTAAGGAATAAGGAGGAGGACCCTGTTGCAGTTTCTTGTTTTGTTTTAAGCTCAAAAAATGAGAGATGTCTATCAACTAAGCAGAAAATTGCAGAGAACTGTCAGATCTTTAGGAAATATGGGGACTGCTGTTTCTTAAATGGAAATGATTCATTTAACTTTTCTACGATGCCCACTTAATAGCATGACCACCCCTGACAGAATTCTGATACATTTATCATAGGAGTGTGATAATAATACAAGCCTAGGATAGAGGAAGAAGAACATTATGTAGGTTTAATTTTCTGGTAATCTGTTTCACACATAACCATGAGAAAGATGCTGACTGCCTAATAATAGTGGGAATTAAAAAAGAACTCTTGGGCAGTGGGAGCAGAAGTAACACACAAATGCTCTGTATTTATTTCCAACTGTCTGATTATCTTTTCAGATTGCTCCAAAGCACAATGTACTCTGATTAATCAAATATAATTTTACGTTGATTGCATCGTTGGAATTATGCTGAGTAAACAAAGGGAATGGTTCCACTCATAAGTTAAGCGGGGGATGCTGAGGAGACTGGGGCTTAATCAAAACTTGAACAGTAAATGTTTTGTGTACTACCTCATTTTTGTGCATTACAAGCATGGTGGAGTTGACACTCTGAACTTCCGTCCAGCAGAATTGCTTGAGGGACATTATGGGTAGCTGGGTAACAGCGCAAGGAGTTTTATGCCCCTGAAGAACGAATCAGACAGTGAGGTCTTCTCGGTTGAGACTGAAAAATAGGACAATCTTTCTTATAAAACAGAAACCATTACTGTAAGAGGATGGACTATTTCTGCCATCATGTAATGGAGTGAAAAGACGTTCAAAGATTTATTAGTTGTTTGTTTCTATTGGAAATGAACAATGAACTCTACGGCTCCATTTTCTACAATGATGAGATAGAGATATATAGATATGAATATATATCTATATCTGAGCGTAATTATATATCTGTAACACCTCTACAACATAACATAATTTTTTGCCACAGTGTGTGGGTGGTTGGGGGTGTTTCCAAGCATTAAAGAAAAAGAAAATTAAGGTGGCTTAATGTTGCTGTATTTCAGCAATTGAATGTTTTTATTTATCTGTGTAATTTTTGGTGTGACTTTTTTTTGGTTAGTATTTGGTACCATGTAGTGTTATCTCTATTCCCTAAAGGATGTGTATAACTTTAAAAAAAAGAAAAAAAAAGGAAGTAAAAATAGAGAAGAAAAAAGGAAAAAGGAAAAAGAGAAAAAATATGTAAAGTGTTGTAAATAAGATGGTTGACGATGGTACAGTAAGACTGACCCCATTTTGTATTCAGGGTTAGGCCATTCCTCTCTGCATGGTGAAGAGAGACACTATTTTTATACTGTGATACCATGTAGGGCTAGGAGCCTCCCTGAAACAGCTGGGAATTGTTACCTAGATCCAATATTTTTTATTATTAAATCTTGTTGGCTTGACACATCTACTGATTGAAATGGATGTCTTAGTCTAGGTTACTATTTTTGTCATATGGAATTGAATAAAATGCAGGATGTAATATTATTTCTGAATTGCGTTCCTTGATTACTCTAATAATAGAACAAGATATGAGACTAAGGTCACTTGTGGTAGATTGGTGTCAATGACTTCTAATCGTTGCATCTGAAAATCAGAGTAAGGTTGACACCGTGTATTCAAATGTTTTTCTAATTTATATTAACAGTGAAAAGGGATAGAATTATTAAAATCTCTTTACCAATTAAAATAAATTTTAAGAGCATTTATCCCAAGGTAGTAGAACAAAAAAACACACACAAAAAATATTTTGGAGAGGGGAAAACAGACTTCGGCATGACTACTGTTTCAAATTGACTGCTTTCTCAACATTCGTCCTGTACTGTCTGATGAAAAAGTCTCCTTTTCAGGTTGTTTAAACATCTGCCTAATATTCATGATACACTGCATGATAAAATTTGTGAACAAATTTATTAGGAGCAGTTCAAATTCTAAAATACAAAAAGGAAAAAATTGACAACTCGCATCCGTTCATTCCAAATGACATAACCTATATATGGTTTAAACCCATGGTTTTGTTTTTGTCTTTTTTTCCAATAACCTCAATTATCAAAGCATGTCTAACTTTAACAAAATTATTTTTTCACATTGATTTAAATGAAAGTATTTGCATTCTTAAGGTTAGGCATGTGGTTAAGTATCTCCTGCAAAAAAGCTGTATGTTTGAGTAAACTCCAAGCTGTTATATTCTGATGGTGAATGCCTGCTGCATTTAAAACAGACAAAAGATAAATAAAAGAGAAAAATCTGTATTAATCATTTTTCAGTGGCCTTGTTATGCAGATACTGTGTTTATAAGATGAACCCAAAGAAGGTATGAGTTTCCTCAGGTGACTCAACAACGATAGATTTGTGCTTTTCTTCCTCCATGCACGTCCCTGAGTCTTGCTGAGAGAAAACATGATATGCAAAAGAGAAGAAAAGCAAAGGAGAGCTGATAGCTGTGGTTCTGTTCTAAACACAAGAGGAAAATTACCTGCTTTCCCCTCCTCCCCCCTCCCAAAAAAAGGATGAAAGCAGAATGGTATCTATTTTTAAATGTGTATGGGTTATTTTTTTTATCATACGAAGACATTAAATAATAAAATATGCTACAGAGATGAAAATGGTCAAAGTCTGTTGAATTACAGATGTTGAAAAATATAGCCATGTAGGAACTCTATATATGATCAGAAAAATTGCCCGTTATGATTTTTTAAGGGGAGTGTTCCAGCAAGGCTTTCAAACTTTTCACTTCCATTTTTCCCCATGAGTTATTAGAAAGAGAGCATTTATTAAATGATTGACATTACCTAATTAATTGATTGAAATAACTTATTTTTTACCCAATTTTTATTTTGTTTATATTAGCCCTCAAGATATTTTCTGTTCCTATACCTGTTTTGTTCTTTCTCTTTCGACAAATACTTTGTTTTTCTAAAGTTGCATTTGTGCTGTATTTGTGTTGCCTTTAATTTACTTCTCTGCATGTGCTCTGTCATTTGGAATATACTGTGGTTTATTTTTTTCCTTTTTCTCTAATTCTGCAGAGGTCAAAAGAGCTGCCTGTTTTTTACGTCTATGTGTAACAGTAGCATAATGAGTGATGAAGTCTTCAGTGATGTGATCAGGTATGTGCATAGCTCACAGGATTTGCTGACAAACATGCCATTCCCACTCCTTCCTTCACATGAAGGCATGAAGCTCATTAGTGCTGCTGGTAGAGGGCAGCTGCAGGTGGGCAGGAGGATGGAAGTCCTGATCCCAACTTCACTCTGCCTGCTTTTACAGCACTGAAGCTCTACTGCCCTTAGTGGAGATACTCCAGGTTTATTCTGGTGCAGGAGGGACTGCTTCCAGGTTCAGATGTCTTGCTTTTATTTACACATTTTCAAAACAATGGCTAGCTATACAATGTTTTAAAGTATGTCTAAGCAAAAACATTCCGTACTTTATTTTTAAAAAGAGGGAAAAGAGAATACGTATATTTTAATACATTCCACAGGATTATCCCAGTTTTAAAGGAGGTCCTGAAAGATGAACCTAAAAATATATATGCTTGTGCCCCTTAATATATAATTTGATGTCATCATACGACTATTCAGAGTATTCACATAAATGAGTAAAAAATCCTGTAATTTTTATGCATAAAAGTAAAAGAATAGGGGACTCTTGCTACAGTTCTGCTACACAAGGTATGCTCTCACAGGGAAATGTCTTCCCTTTGCAGATATGAAAGGTATCAGCAGATTTATGAAAAGAAAAATACATATTTGTACATGTCGCAGGACCAATGTATAGTACCTTATTTTTTCAAAGGGAGAATGTCTCAATCAATTGACAAAGCGACAAATATGAAAGCCAACAGCTTTGG